GAATAGGGGCAGAGAGAACAGGGGCAGAGAGAACAGGGGCAGAGAGAACAGGGGTAGAGAGAGCGTACAAGAGAGGACGAGCACAAGGAAGAGCACGCGCGGGAGAGGAAGAGGTAGAGGGAGAGGAAAAGATAGAGGGAACGGAGAAGAGGGAGAGAGGAAGTTCACATACAAAGGACACGGAACGCACAGCAGCAACACACAGGAAGATGCAAGAGCACACATCAACACACAGCGAGGCACAGTGTCGTTACTCATGCACGTGTTTTGAGACATCTCAAAACAACACACAGCAAGGCACAGCGCGGCACAGCAAGGCACATCATCCTTACCCATGCACGTCCTGCCGTCATCTTGCAGCGTGAAGCCAATGTCACACACACACGACGCCATCCCTGCTGCATCCTTCACACAGCGGCCGTTCTCACCACATGCCTGCAGTATGCACGTGTCTGCCAGGGGAGGGAGGAGTCGCATGGACGACAATAAACGCGAAGTGTTAGGAAATAAATGAATTAAAAAAAAAAAAAAAAAAAACAAACGAATGATATTGGAAAGTGCATAACATTGGTACATCACTCAATGATGGCAGCACACGACAGCCTTACCTGTCCACTCCACATCATGCCGCCATTCTGCAACAAATAGAGCATATCGACTTTGTCACGCATGGCAGCACAGCACTGACCAACACAGCCGCTTTTGGTCATGACATAGCCCAAGTTGCAGTGGTTTGAATAAGTCGACTCAAACACACACAGATCACAGAAACACAGTTGCCACGCATCGCATCGCATTGAGCACAGCACAGCACAGCACAGCACCGCACAGCACAGCACAGCACAGCACAGCACAGCACCGCACAGCACAGCACAGCACAGCACCGCACAGCACAGCACAGCACAGCACCACACAGCACTGACCAACACAGCCATTCTCAGTCAAGGCGTAGCCCCAGTTGCAGTGGCAAACGGCGAGATCCTGCTCCTTCTCGCAGTACCCGTTCTCCCCACAGTCCCTTATCGCACACGAGTCTGTTGGGTTGGGTTCACACACACACACACGCACAGAACGAGAGAAGGCACATATGGCCGGTGGGAACGTGTATGACATGACAGGACGCGCAGTTGGTAAGACTTCTGATCGAGCAAATATCCTTTCGAGGAAGGGAAGCAGGGCGCATAGGGCAGCAGCTTGAGGCCTCTTTCACACATGCAGTTGGTGATAAAAGGAGAATTTGTTTTGAGACGTCTCAAAACAAATGATGGCACTCACGCGTGCAGCAGGATGCATTGGGCAGCAGTGTTATGGGGAGAAGCAAGGGTGGGTGAAGATGAAGGGTGGGTGAAGGCACTCACGCGTGCAGGACGCGTTGGGCAGCAGCTTGAGGCCCCTTTCACACACGCAGTTGGCCCAGCCTCCCTGGCTCTTCAGGCACCTCGAATTGCGGCCGCAGTTGCGTACCGTGCATGAGTCTGCAGTCAGGCATGCAGGAGGGAGACACAGGCACGTGGGGGCAGATACAGGCACGTGGGGGCAGATACAGGCACGTGGGGGCAGATACAGGCACGTGGGGGCAGACACAGGCACGTGGGGGCAGACACAGGCACGTGGGGGCAGACACAGGCACGTGGGGGCAGACACAGGCACGTGGGGGCAGACACAGGCACGTGGGGGCAGACACAGGCACGTGGGGGCAGACACAGGCACGTGGGGGCAGACACAGGCACGTGGGGGCAGACACAGGCACGTGGGGGCAGACACAGGCACGTGGGGGCAGACACAGGCACGTGGGGGCAGACACAGGCACGTGAGGGCAGACACAGGCACGTGGGGGCAGACACAGGCACGTGGGGGCAGACACAGGCACGTGGGGGCAGACACAGGCACGTGGGGGCAGACACAGGCACGTGGGGGCAGACATAGCACAATCGGCCCAAAACCATAAACGCCCTATGCAGAAGCTGTGAGGGGAAATGCAGATGCCAAAATAACGCCATATTAAGCCTGCGGCGGAGTGGAGTCATCCTGCATGTGAATCCAATCATTCCGACAGCACTAGCACCCACCGACGCAGTTGCCCTCGGCGTCCTTCTCTTGGCCCCGCTGACTCTTGAGACACTCAAAAGTCAGCAGAGTGGAGAGGAGCAATGTTGCATGCAATGAAAATTCAATCATTCTGACAGCACCAGCACCAGCACCCACCGACGCAGTTGCCCTCGGCGTCCTTCTCTTGGCCCCGAGGGCAGCGGCGGTTGCTGGCAGCAGGTGGCAGGACGACTGCTGGAGGCCTGGGCGCATCCTCTGCGAAACACAACGGGGGGCAGGGAGTGCAGGTCAGGCATGGGCAGGCATACATGCAGGCATACATGCAGGCATACATGCAGGCATACATGCAGGCATACATGCAGGCATACATGCAGGCATACATGCAGGCATACATGCAGGCATACATGCAGGCATACATGCAGGCATACATGCAGGCATACATGCAGGCATACATGCAGGCATACATGCAGGCATACATGCAGGCATACATGCAGGCATACATGCAGGCATACATGCAGGCATACATGCAGGCATACATGCAGGCATACATGCAGGCATACATGCACAGATATTTGGGCTGTTAGCAAAAACGATGTGAGGCAGGGAGGCGGAGGTCACAAGGGAATGGTGAGAGAGAGAGAGAGAGAGAGAGAGAGAGAGAGAGAGAGAGAGAGAGAGAGAGAGAGAGAGAGAGAGACAGACAGAGAGAGAGAGGGAGAGAGAGATGGGGAGAGAGAGGGAAAGAAAAGAAGTATGGCAGCACAGAGCAGCCTAGCAGCACAGAGCAGCCTAGCAGCACAGAGCAGCCTAGCAGCACAGAGCAGCCTAGCAGCACAGAGCAGCCTAGCAGCACAGAGCAGCCTAGCAGCACAGAGCAGCCTAGCAGCGCAGAGCAGCCTAGCAGCACAGAGCAGCCTAGCAGCACAGAGCAGCCTAGCAGCACAGAGCAGCCTAGCAGCACAGAGCAGCCTAGCAGCACAGAGCAGCCTAGCAGCACAGAGCAGCCTAGCAGCACAGAGCAGCCTAGCAGCACAGAGCATCCTAGCAGCACAGAGCAGCCTAGCAGCACAGAGCAGCCTAGCAGAACAGAGCAGCCTAGCATCACAGAGCAGCCTAGCAGCACAGAGCAGCCTAGCAGCACAGAGCAGCCTAGCAGCACAGAGCAGCCTAGCAGCACAGAGCAGCCTAGCAGAACAGAGCAGCCTAGCAGCACAGAGCAGCCTAGCAGCACAGAGCAGCCTAGCAGCACAGAGCAGCCTAGCAGCACAGAGCAGTCTAGCAGCACAGAGCAGCCTAGCAGCACAGAGCAGCCTAGCAGCACAGAGCAGCATAGCAGCACAGAGCAGCCTAGCAGCACAGAGCAGCCTAGCAGCACAGAGCAACCTAGCAGCGCAGAGCAGCCTAGCAGCACAGAGCAGCCTAGCAGCGCAGAGCAGCCTAGCAGCACAGAGCAGCCTAGCAGCACAGAGCAGCCTAGCAGCACAGAGCAGCCTAGCAAAACAGAGCAGCCTAGCAGAACAGAGCAGCCTAGCAGCACAGAGCAGCCTAGCAGCACAGAGCAGCCTAGCAGCGCAGAGCAGCCTAGCAGCACAGAGCAGCCTAGCAGCACAGAGCAGCCTAGCAAAACAGAGCAGCCTAGCAGCGCAGAGCAGCCTAGCAGCACAGAGCAGCCTAGCAGCACAGAGCAGCCTAGCAGCACAGAGCAGCCTAGCAGCAGAGAGCAGCCTAGCAGCACAGAGCAGCCTAGCAGAACAGAGCAGCCTAGCAGCACAGAGCAGCCTAGCAGCACAGAGCAGCCTAGCAGCACAGAGCAGCCTAGCAGCACAGAGCAGCCTAGCAGCACAGAGCAGCCTAGCAGCACAGAGCAGCCTAGCAGCACAGAGCAGCCTAGCAGCACAGAGCAGCCTAGCAGCACAGAGCAGCCTAGCAGCACAGAGCAGCCTAGCAGCACAGAGCAGCCTAGCAGCACAGAGCAGCCTAGCAGCGCAGAGCAGCCTAGCAGCACAGAGCAGCCTAGCAGCACAGAGCAGCCTAGCAGCACAGAGCAGCCTAACAGCACAGAGCAGCCTAGCAGCACAGAGCAGCCTAGCAGCACAGAGCAGCCTAGCAGCACAGAGCAGCCTAGCAGCGCAGAGCAGCCTAGCAGCGCACGACTTGCCATCACAGCAGCCTTACCAGCGCACGACTTGCCATCATCTCGCAGCGTGAAGCCAGCGTCACACACACACGACGCCGCCCCCTCCTCGTCCTTCACGCACTGGCCGTTCTAACCGCACTCCAGGAGCACACACGTGTCTGCCAGGGGAGGGAGGAGCGGCGGGAGCAAAAGAATAGCAAAAAGAATAGTGAGAGAAGGGCAGTATACATATACAGCAGCAGCACAATCAGAACACATGGAAGCAGCGGCACACAGCATTCAGCAGCAGCAGCAGCAGCAGCAGCAGCAGCAGCAGCTACATGTGTATGTCCTGCCATCCTCCCCTTGCGCAAAGCCAAGGTGTCAACACAGAAAGCCATCAGTGTGCGTCTCATCAGGACAACACGGGATAGTAAGCAAGCAGCAGCACTGACCAACACAGCCGTCAGCGGTCTTGGCGAAGCCAGTGTTGCAGCGACACGTGGTGCGCCCCCCCTGCTCCTCCTCACAGTACCCGTGCTCCCCACAGTCCGCGCTCGTGCACAACTCTGCCAGATTTGTACACAGCACGAGAGGGGGGACAGCAGAGCGAGCACAGGGGAGTACAAAAATGATTCTGAGACGTCTCAAAGACAGGTGGTGCGGTGCGCCCCTGCTCCTCCTCACAGAACCCGTGCTCCCCACAGTCCTCGCTCGTGCACACCTCTGCCAGGTTCACAGCATGTCAGGGAGGGCAGCAGAGCAAGCACAGGGGAGTATGATGAGATGAGAGGCGTTGATATGGGACTGGGAAGGTTTGAAACGAGTGGCAGCAATGGCAGGGGTGATACTGGTAACCGTGGCGAGGAGGATACAAATCCTTGACCTGCTGATGTCAAGTGTGACGAAAGGCGTCAATACGGGCGACAGTAGATCACGTGCAGAAAGCGACAAGGGTGGGTGGGGTCACGTGCGCTCAACAACACCTCCCCCCCTGATATATACCCAACAAGGGTGGGTGAAGCAAGCAGGGTGGGTGAAGGGGAGCTCACGTGCGCAGGAGGCGTTGGGCAGCAGCTTGAAGCCCCTGTCGCAGACGCGCGGGGCCCACCGAGCCGCGCCGCCCTAACCGAGCCGCGCCGCCCTAACCGAGCCGCGCCGCCCTAACCGAGCCGCGCCGCCCTACCTGCGCCGAGCCGCCCTCCCTGAGTCGCACTACCTACTACTGTTACTGCTACTGCTGCTACTGCTACTATGGCTAGTCCTCCCGTGCTAGCTTTCGATACTGAGGGACGTCCAGTGAAATTTGACACCTGGCTAGATGACCTGCACCTTTTCCTACAGCTCACTGCCAAGGAAGACATCTCACTGTACGATCACGCCCTAGGCCATGCCCCTGCGCCTGCTGCTACTGCCGACAGCTCTACCCGCTCACAGTGGCAGACTCATGACGCCCACGCTCGCTTTGCTATTCGCAACTCCCTGCCGCTAGAAGAGCGCGAGCACTTTGGCCAGCACAAGACTGCACAGGACCTGTACAAAGCTGTCGTTGCCCGCTACTCCTCGCCTGCCTCTGCCGCTCTAGGCCGTCTCTCGCTTCCCTACCTGTTCCCCGACCTGTCCTCTTTCCACACAGTCGCTGACCTCATCACCCACCTCCGTACTAGTGAGGCCCGCTTCCGTGCTGCCATGCCCGCCGAGTTCCTTGCCAAGAACCCTCCCCCGCTCTGGCTCACTCTCTACCACCTAGTCACCCGCCTCCCTGACTCTCTGCGTGCAGTCAGGGATTCCTTCCTAGCTCGCTGCCCTACTGAGCTCACCATTGCCCTCCTCGAGAAGGAACTACTTGCAGCTGAGGCTAGCATAGTCGCTGTAGGTGCCTCTCGTGGCGACCCCCGCACCCCGTTCTTTGAGGGGTGTTCTCCTTCCCCCCTTCTTCCCTCTGTCGCCTCTGCTGCTGCTGTCGACCTCCTTGGTGCTGAGAAGGTCGGGACTGCGTCTGCTTCGAGCGGACGCCGCAGCGGCAAGGGCAAAGGGGGCAAGGGAGGCGGAGGTCACAGTGGGGGAGGAGGTGGTGGGGGCGGTGGCGGCGGTGGGGTGGTGGCGTGGCTGGAGGGGTGAGTGGTGGCGGTGGGGGGGGTGGCGGTAGCGGCGGGGAAGGTGGCAGAGGCGGGGGCGGTGGTGGGGGTGGCGGTGGACGTGGAGGCGGCACGGGTTGGGGTGGTCGAGGAGGTGGGAGCGGAGGTGGTGGTCGTGGAGGCGCTGGTGGTGGCCAGAGCCAGCAGCACACTCCGTCGCTCCAGGAGGTCCGTGAGTGGTACTCTCAGCACGGGGGGGGGGGGGGGGGGGGTGGGCTTAGCTGCACGTACGTCATCCGCACTGGTGACCGCGCTGGTCAGACGTGTGGGAGGGCCCACACCGCGCAGCGCTGCTTCTCTCGTCTCGACGACGCTTGGCGTGTTCAGTTCCCTCAGGCCTCTGAGCTGCCCCGCTGGATTGATCTCCTGAAGAAGGGGATTGATATCTATGCTCTAGACTTTGATGCTATTCTCACTGCCATGTATGTGATGTCTACTAGTGGAGAGGGTGCTGAGTACCTGTGTGTTCCGCCCGACCCGGGCATTAGGACCAGTGAGTCTGCCGCTTCAGGTCCGCGCGTGTCTGCTACCTCAGGTGCTGGTACGGCTGCTGCTCTAGGTGCTTGTGCGTCTGCGCCCACTGATACTGAGTCGACTGCAGCACTGCACACCTTCACACTGGACTCAGGTGCTTCTCGCTGTTTCTTTCGTGACCGCACTGCCCTTGAGCCACTTGCTCGGCCAGTTGCTGTCTCCCTCGCTGACCCCTCCGGGGGACCAGTCGTGGCGACCTCCTCCACTGTCCTTCCCTGTCCTGCGGTCCCGTCGGGCACACTGTCCGGTCTCCACCTCCCCTCGTTCTCTACGAACCTGGTGGCTGGGTGTGCGCTCCAGGACGCGGGTGTTCACCAGTTCACCCCGGCCTACGAGCGCGTGACGCACTGCACGTGTGCCCGTACGGGCCGCCACTTGGCTACCTTCACTCGGCAGCCGGGGTCGGACCTGTACACACTGACCACTGAGTCCCCTCAGGTCGCTGCGTCTGCGTCTGCGTCTGCGTCAGGTCAGCTGTCGGCCCCCTGCTCGTGTCGCTCTCTGGCGCACGAGACTGTCCTCTGGCACCACCGACTTGGCCACCCGTCTGTGCAGCGCCTTCGCGCCATGCACTCCAGGTACCTTGTCTCTGGTCTTCCCAGGGTCCTCCCTCCCCTCCCACCCTCGCCTGCTCCTTCCTGTCTTCCCTGTGTCGAGGGGCGGCAGCGCGCCGCTCCTCACTCCTCCTCCTTTCCCCCGACGACTGCTCCCTTGCAGACGCTCCACATGGACGTGTGGGGCCCAGCCCACGTCCGTGGTCAGGGTCAGGAGAGGTACTTCCTGATAGTTGTTGACGACTACTCGCGCTACACCACGGTCTTCCCCTTGCGCACCAAGGGTGAGGTCCCTGATGTTTTGATCCCTTGGATCCGCAGAGCTCGTCTCCAGCTCAGCGAGCGTTTCCACTCGGACTTTCCTGTCCTGCGCTTGCACTCTGACAGAGGTGGTGAGTTCTCCTACTGTGCTGAGCACGGCATTGAGCAGTCGTTCACGCTTTCGGCCTCTCCACAGCAGAATGGGGTTGCGGAGCGCCGCATTGGCCTAGTCATGCGGCTGCCCCCCACTTTCTGTGGCCGTTTGCGGTCCGGTACGCTGCGCATCAGCTCAACCTCTGGCCCCGTGTCTCCTTGCCGGAGACCTCGCCCACGCTGCTGTGGACGGGGGAGGTTGGCGATGCGTCGCGTTTCCGGGTCTGGGGATCTCGAGCTTTTGTCCACGATACGTCCGCGGACAAGCTCTCCACCCGCGCTGTTCCCTGCGTCTTCCTTGGCTTTGTCCCTGACGCGTCTGGTTGGCAGTTTTACCACGCCACCTCTCAGGACGTCACGTTTGACGAGTCCGTCCCCTACTACCGCCTCTTCCCCTACCGCACTGCCCCGCTCCCCCCCCCGCCTCTCTTCCTCGCGCCAGGTGCCGCTGTGGTAGACCCCCTCCCCCCTCAGGGTGCCGCTCCCTCAGGTGTGTCCCAGGTAGACCCGGTTGAGCCTGTTGAGGTAGCTGTTGACTCTCGTCCTGCTGCGGGTGCGGAGCCTGGGGGTGCGGAGTCTGGGGGTACTGAGCCTGGGAGTGCTGAGCCTGAGGGTACTGAGCCTGGGGGTGCTGAGCCTGGGGGTGCGGAGCCTGCGGTTGCGGAGCCTGGGGGTGCGGAGTCTGGGGGTGCTGAGCCTGGGCGTGCTGAGCCTGGGGGTGCTGTGCCTGGGGGTGCTGAGCTGCAGAGTTCTGGGTCTGGGAGTGCTGAGTCTGGGGGTGCTGAGCCTGGGAGTCCTGCGCCTGGGGGAGCTCTCTCCTCGGAGCGGCTGCGTGAGTGGTACTCAGAGTACTGCAGCCTCCGGAGAGGTGCCTCTGGGACCAGGAGTGCTGCTGCGACTGGTGCTGGTGCCTCCCCTCCTCAGCGGGAGCTGCCCTCTCTTGAGCGGATCCGCGAGTGGTACGAGCGGCGCTGCACTCTCCGGAGTGGAGCGCCTGGTGTCGCGGACCCTGGTGCTGGAGGTGCTGCTGCTGTTGCTGGAGGCCCTGCTAGTGCTGCTGGTGCTGCGGACCCTGACGCTGGAGCTGCTGCTGGTGCTGCGGACCCGGGAGCTGGAGCTGCTGCTGGTACTGCGGACCCTGGAGTTGGGGCTGCTGCTGGTGCTGCGGACCCTGGAGCTGGAGCTGCTGCTGGTGCTGCGGACCCTGACGCTGGAGCTGCTGCTGGTGCTGCGGACCCGGGAGCTGGAGCTGCTGCTGGTACTGCGGACCCTGGAGCTGGAGCTGCTGCTGGTGCTGCGGACCCTGGCGCTGGAGCTGCTGCTGGTGCTGCGGACCCTGGAGCTGGTGCTGCTGGAGCTGCCGCGGGTGCTGGTGCCGTCTCTCCTGGTTCTGGAGTCACTGAGCGGCCCCGACCGTACTTCGTTCCGCTTCTCCAGCAGGTTCTTGGTCAGCCTCCTCCTCCTTGTCCTGCTCCCTCCTTAGAGTGTCCTCCGCCGGTCCCGTCGCAGTCGCAGTTCCCGCCTCCCTCGCCGCTCCCCGGTCCTTCTCCTTACACTGGTCCCACAGGAGGTCTTACGGAGCGTCGTGAGCCTGAGTCTCGTCCTGTGTCGCCTGCGTCTCGCTCTGCGTCGCCTGTCCGTGCTGCTCGCACTGGTCGTCGTGTCCCGCGTGAGCGTCCTCCTCCTGTCCCTGGCACTCACTACATGACTCTGCGTCCCTCCACTGCTCCTCAGCGTGTCCTTCTACCGTCTCCTCCTGCGTCCTCTCTTCCTGAGCTTCCTGACCCGGAGTCTGACTCCCTTCGTGCTGCCCGTCCTACTGTCACGCGTCTCCTTGCTACTGTTGTCACTGACCCTACCTTTGAGTCCTCTGCTGCGTCTGCTCTAGTCGCTGAGTTAGTTGACTTTGCTGCCGCTTGTCGTCTCGACTACGCCGCTAGCCTAGTTGCTGAGTCTGAGTCTGTCTGTCCTCCGTCCGTCGGGGGTGAGTGTGCTCTTGGTACGGACGTCCTTGAGGACAGGCAGGAGGAGTTCCAGTGCTTTGCTGCTGCTTTACCTCATCTCGTGTCCATGCTAGTTGCCCCTGAGGGAGACCCGGATGCACCAGACATCCCGACCCCGCGCTCTTACGCAGAGGCGATAGCGGGTCCCTACTCCTCTCAGTGGCAGACAGCCATGGACGCAGAGATGGCTTCCTGGAAGTCCACAGGCACCTACGTCGACGCTGTTCCCCCACCAGGGGCGAACATCGTCAGTGGCATGTGGATTTTCAGGGTGAAGCGGCCGCCGGGTTCTCCGCCTGTCTTCAAGGCGCGTTACGTTGCTCGAGGCTTCAGCCAGCGTGAGGGAGTCGACTTCTTCCAGACCTTCTCCCCCACCCCGAAGATGACCACTCTTCGGGTGCTGCTGCACATAGCCGCTCAGCGTGACTACAAGCTTCACTCTCTTGACTTCAGCACTGCTTTCTTGCAGGGTAGTCTGCACGAGGAGATCTGGCTGCGCCGCCCTCCTGGCTTTACTGGGTCGTTTCCTCCTGGTACCCAGTGGAGCCTCCGCCGGCCGGTCTACGGTCTCTGCCAGGCGCCACGTGAGTGGCACGACACACTGAGGACTACACTTGCGGCACTTGGGTTCGCGCCTTCTACAGCTGACCCGTCGCTGTTTCTGCGCACAGACACTTCGTTGCCGCCGTTCTACATCCTCGTGTACGTCGACGACTTGGTCTTTGCCACTGCTGACACTCAGGCTCTCGCCCACGTGAAGTCGGAGCTGCAGAAGAGACACACGTGCACAAACCTGGGTGAACTGACAAGCTACCTTGGCTTGCGGATCACCCGGGACAGAGCACGGCGCACCATTACCTTGACTCAGTCACACATGGTGCAGCAGGTCCTTCAGCGCTTCGGTTTCACGTACTCCTCGCCTCAGTCCACTCCTCTGCCTACCGGTCACTCGCTCTCAGCTCTGCCTTCGGATGAGTCCGTAGAGCCGAGTGGCCCGTATCCAGAGCTTGTGGGCTGCCTCATGTACCTGATGACCTGCACTCGTCCTGACCTTGCATACCCTCTTAGCATCCTTGCACGCTATGTCGCTCCTGGCCGTCACCGGAAGGAGCACATGGATGCCGCTAAGAGGGTGTTGCGCTACTTGTGCAGTACGTCGGGCATGGGGCTAGTGCTTGGAGGGCGAGACCGAGTTGTTCTCACTGGACACTCAGACGCTTCTTGGGCGGACGACCAGGCCACGCAGCGGTCGTCTCAGGGTTACACCTTCAGCCTTGGCTCCGGCTCAGTTTCTTGGCGTTCTACACGCTCTTCTTCTGTTCTCAGCTCCAGTTGTGAGGCTGAGATCTACGCCACAGCCATGGCGGCCCAGGAGCTACGCTGGCTCACCTACCTGCTGACCGACTTGGGAGAGCGGCCTCGTTCTCCTCCAGTGCTGTACGTCGACAACAAGGCTGCCATTGCCTTGTGTGAGGAGCACAGACTGGAGCACAGAACGAAGCACATCGCTCTGCGGTACTTTCTGGCTCGTGAGCTGCAGCAGCGTGGTCAGCTTTGTCTGCGTTACGTGGCCACTCAGGCCAACACTGCTGACGTGCTCACCAAGGCGCTTCAGCCTTGAGCGCTTCTGTACTCTTCTAGGCCTTGTGCCTACTGGACCTCACTTGCTTACTTCTTGACTTTGTTTGTACTGTGATCTCTATATATATATACCTGCATGCTTTCACTTGCTAGGTTGTGATCACTGTACCTCTTGCTCTACTATCAAACTGCATGTGAACTGGTCTTGTGACCACTTGCTTGTGCTCGGAATTTGTGTGGTATCCCTTGAGATCCACCCTGAGCTTGCTTGTGCTTTGCTTTGCTCTGACTGGTCTTGTGACCCCTTGTTCTCCCCCACTTTGCCTATGGGGGTGTGTCAAACATTATATCTGTTGTTGTTGTTTAGGCTACAGTGGGTTAGCCTTTAGGGGGTACACAAACTCTAGGGTTGCATATTTGTACTCACATTCTTGTTAGTCATCCTCATTCCTGCCAGTTAGTTTTAACATACTCACTATTGAGTACCCCACTACAGACTAGACAAGCATTATATTCTGACAGTCTCTGTTGTATGTACCTAAGTTGGATTTTTTGTTTACGGGGCCTTACGTTTTCGGACGTTTACGACGATTTTTATGTTTACGAACGGTAGCCCTGAATCGGCCTTACGGTTACGGTCAGCTGAAAACTTTTTTGGGCTGCCCGAGGGAAAAAAAACTACCAGAATACTCAAGAGATCCATGTTGTATCTATATGTCAATAGTGGAGGAAGGTAAATAATGGAAACTTGGAAAACATATAATATAATCCCCCTATCTCTTCCCCATGGTTGTCCTCCCCCCTGCTGCTCCTAATCCACCCTCTTCTCTCCCTACTCCCCAACCTACTCATCTTCTTCCTCTTCATCCTCCTCCTCCTCCTCCTCCTCCTCCTCCTCCTCCTCCTCCTCCCCCCCCTTTCCTCCTCCATCCTCCTGCTTTTCCTCCTCCTTATCCGCCTCCTCTTCCTCCTCTTCATCTTCCATGTAAGCATCATCGGGGATGTCGTCATCGTCGAGCGGTTTATAAGGATCTTGCTGCTGTTCCTCAATCTGAATGGATTCGTGGCCAGCCTTGAAGAACCGCTTCTCATGCTCCTCATGCACCTTACATACTGTGTTGTAATTGTGTGTCACGTAGACAAGGTCTTCGAGGCGCTTGGGTCCTAGGCGGTTTCGCCGCGCGGTGTGGATGGATTCCCAAACCCCCCAATTGGTTTCACACGCGGAAGCAGAAACACACTGCTTGAGAACCTTGCAAGCCATTTTAGCAAGGTTGGGGCAGTGCTGCTCCCCACTATACTCCCACCAATGAGTTGGGTCCAACTTGCCCACCTTCACGAGCTCGAGATCTGCCCTTGCCTTCGGCTCACCAATGGCCCCTTCTCCCTTCACATAAATAACAATCTCCCTCTCAACAATGGTCGCCATTGGAAACTTCGTGCCATCCTTATCCACCACGTACTCCCCGTTATAGTAATCCCTTATGAACTGCTTGAAGATCCTAGTGCACTCAATGTCCCTGCCGAAGATCTTCTCGTATTGATTTGGTGGATACAAAATCCGACCCACCACATGTAAGGCGCAGTTGATGTTCTTATTCCAGCGACGCCGCACGGCCCCCAAAATCCACTTGCTCTCCTTGCTCCTCAGGCAGCTGCAAGCCGCCTTCATACTCTCCTCTAAATCCAGCATCATGTCATACATCTTCCCCATTACCTCCTGATTTCCATCAAGCGCCCTCAAGAGCATGTAAATCGGCTTCAAGACACGTACCACCCTCTCCACCCCCTCCCAAAAATGGTCATCCCTAATCACGCCGCGTGCCGCAACCATTCGCTTCTTCCCATGTGCCTGGGCAGCCCACCCTGTGGTCAGCACCATTTGGTCAAGTACAGGACGCACATCCAGCAAACGTTGCAGCGCTATATAGTTTGTTCCAAAGCGTGTGCCAGCGGGCTTAAGCAGCATGAGAGATTTTTTCTCACGGAAGTAGCCGGTGATCCAATGTGCCTTCTTCAAAACCGAAATCAGGTCTTGCGCCTTGCCAATGATTTTGGCAGCCCATTTGCGCCCCCCAATGTCTTTCATCAGATTGTTGAGGCTGTGAGCCGCGCAACGGATGTATTCCACCTTTGGAAATTCCGCCTTCACGATGTTGGCTGCGCTAATGTTGTTGCTTGCGCCATCCATTAGCAGCCCCACCACATTCTCTGCTCCAACCATGCCGATGGCTCTCTTGAGGTGTTCGGCAATGTACTCGCCGCCCTTCTTCTTTGTACCGCAATCAACGCCGAACAATAAGACAGCTCCCTTCGTGTTCACTGCTAGGAAGTTCATCTGTGGGCGGCTAGAGATATCTGTCCATCCGTCAGTAGCAATGCTCACACCAATGTCGCTCCATGAGTCCTTGATCGGTTTCAACGCGTCGTCCGTGGTATCCTTGCAATCTTGCAAGAGCCGGCCCATGATCAGCTTTCGAGTAGGTGTTGGAAATCCAGGACCACCTGCCTCCACTTTCCTCAACATAGACTTGAAAGCGGCGTGCTCCGCTACATTGGGGGCAATGTGGCAAACGTGGAAAAACGTTGCAACCGCCTGCTGCGCGCTTGCGAGATTTGCACCTGTAGGCCGACATTCGAGCAACGTTTTCTGATTTGCCGGGCGCTTGCTTGGTGTACTAGAACTAGCAACGATCCCGGTTGTCTCCTTGCTAAACGCGTCCATCGTGCGCTTCGAGGCGATCCGCTTAGCTTCCTGCTCACTAGACTTGGCTGATGCCGCTGTACGCACTTCAACCTTAGCCTCTGCTGACACTTTCTTGCATGCTCTAATGTCCTTGCTATTACCAAGGATATGCGCCTGCGCACGAGTAACGTTAAGGGACCACGAATGATTGCAAAACTTGCATTGCCTTTCCGCCGAATCTGATGGAGCCCCATCTGGTTATTTAAAATGCCTCCAAACGGGGTGCTCGCTAAGATTAGCAGGTGAAGCCATAGGTTACGGAGATCGAGGAACTAGAGCTAAGCAGTCGCTGAATACGAAGTTCTGCTCTACTTAGGGAATTTGGATCTGGATTCTGGATTCAGATCCAGTTTCGACAAAGTGGGGTCACGTAATATTTCTGGCTTTGCTGATTCGCTAAGACCTACGGTTGGTTGGATTCGCTGTTACATTTTTTTTTTTTTCGTTTTCACCAAACAACCGAACAGAAATTGTGGCAGTCGCGAACCCTAACTTGAATTTCGCCAACATCCACACCTACAAATTCCGCCACGCACGTACGCCAATCACATAGCCGACGAATCTCCCTACAGAATTTCGCAAAGCGCGCGTCCTAATCCCGAGCCCAACAAACCACCACTCACACCCTCCTCCCTAGCACAAGGTATTGTCGCCCTCACAGCCTAGAAAACTCTCTCGACCTAATCGATCTAAACTTAGTGGCTTGATATTTTCACCCCACCACCAAGACAGCACAGATTCAGATCGCGTTAGGGACTTTAAAGGCGCTGCGTTTCTACTTAGTTCGCTATTGCAGAAGGCTCGGATTAGTTGTACTTGCTTCTATTGTAAGCCATAATCCTGGATGAAAAAAAACGGGCCGCGATTTTTTTTTTTCCGCTGCCCGCGTCAGACTTACGCGTAACTTAACGTACGAAATCGAAATCGTAACATTTCGCGAAATTTACGTTTACGCTGCCCGGAAAACCGTAACAGCCCAACTTAGGTATGTACTGGCAGTAATACTGGATATCATGTTAAACATTGGAACCATCACACGAGAAATTTAGTCAGCAAAATACCCAATTAATATCGTCTGAACCATTCACTTTTTACGTTTAATTAATTTTAGAGTTATTAAATACTGGGAAACAAAATAGGGGTGGTAAATTGGTGCGTAATCCGAACACTACAGTTACTGTGCCTACAGTAAAATGTTTATCATATCTATTGCTCG